TTCTGCCTCTCAGTCGTGTCCTTCTGTCTGCTCTCAGTCTTGTCCCTTCTGTCTGTCGTGTCCTTCTGTCTGTCAGTCCTCGTGTCCTTCTGTCTGCTCTCAGTCTCGTGTCTTCTGTCTGTCTCAGTCCTCTTGTCTCCTTCTCTGTCCTCTGTGTCCTTCTGTCTGTCAGTCTCGTGTCCTTCTGTCTGTCAGCCTCGTGTCCCGTCTGTCTGTCTCGTGTCCTTCCTGTCTGTCTCAGTCTCGTGTCCTTCTGTCTGTCTCAGTCTCGTGTCCTTCTGTCTGTCTGTCAGCCTCGTGTCCTTCTGTCTGTCCTGTCAGCCTCGTGTCCTTCTGTCTGTCTGTCTCGTGTCCTTCTGTCTGTCTCGTGTCCTTCTGTCTGTCTCCAGTCTCGTGTCCTTCTGTCTGTCAGCCTCGTGTCCCTTCCTGTCTGCTCCTCAGTCTCGTGTCCTTCTGTCTGTCTCAGTCTCGTGTCCTTCTGTCTGTCAGTCTCGTCCTTCCTGTCTGTCTCAGTCTCGTCCTTCTCTGTCTGTCTGTCAGCCTCGTGTCCTTCTGTCTGTCTCAGTCTCGTGTCCTTCTGTCTGTCTCAGTCTCGTGTCCTTCTGTCTGTCAGCCTCGTGTCCTTCTGTGTCTGTCAGTCTCGTGTCCTTCTGTCTGTCTCAGTCCTGTGTCCCTTCTGTCTGTCAGCCTCGTGTTCCTTCTGTCTGTCTCCAGTCTCGTGTCCTTCTGTCTGTCTCAGTCTCGTGTCCTTCTGTCTGTCTGTCAGCCTCGTGTCCTTCTGTCTGTCAGCCTCGTGTCCTTCTGTCTGTCAGCCTCGTGTCCTTCTGTCTGTCTCAGTCTCGTGTCCTTCTGTCTGTCTCAGTCTCTGTGTCCTTCTGTCTGTCTCAGTCTCGTGTCCTTCTGTCTGTCTCAGTCTCGTGTCCTTCTGTCTGTCTCAGTCTCGTGTCCTTCTGTCTGTCTCAGTCTCGTGTCCTTCTCTCTCAGTCTCGTGTCCTTCTGTCTGTCTCAGTCTCGTGTCCTTCTGTCTGTCTCAGCCTCGTGTCCTTCTGTCTGTCTGTCAGCCTCGTGTCCTTCTGTCTGTCTTCAGCCTCGTGTCCTTCTGTCTGTCTCCAGTCTCACGTGTCCTTCTGTCTGTCTCAGTCTCGTGTTCCTTCTGTCTTTCTCAGTCTCGTGTCCTTCTGTCTGTCTCAGTCTCGTGTCCTTCTGTCTGTCAGTCTCGTGTCTCCTTCTGTCTGTCTCAGTCTCGTGTCCTTCTGTCTGTCTCCTCAGTCTCGTGTCCTTCTGTCTGTCAGCCTCGTGTCCTTCTCTGTCTGTCTCCAGTCTCGTGTCCTTCTGTCTGTCTCAGTCTCTCGTGTCCTTCTGTCTGTCTCAGTCTCGTGTCCTTCTGTCTGTCTCAGTCTCGTGTCCTTCTGTCTGTTCTCAGTCTCGTGTCCTTCTGTCTGTCAGCCTCGTGTCCTTCTGTCTGTCAGCCTCGTGTCCTTCTGTCTGTCAGCCTCGTGTCCTTCTGTCTGTCAGCCTCGTGTCCTTCTGTTCTGTCAGCCTCGTGTCCTTCTGTCTGTCAGCCTCGTGTCCTTCTGTCCTGTCAGCCTCGTGTCCTTCTGTCTGTCAGCCTCGTGTCCTTCTGTCTGTCAGCCTCGTGTCCTTCTGTCTGTCAGCCTCGTGTCCTTCTGTCTGTCAGCCTCGTGTCCTTCTGTCTGTCAGTCTCGTGTCCTTCTGTCTGTCAGCCTCGTGTCCTTCTGTCTGTCAGCCTCGTGTCCTTCAGTCTGTCAGTCTCGTGTCCTTCTGTCTGTCAGCCTCGTGTCCTTCTGTCTGTCAGTCTCGTGTCCTTCTGTCTCTGTCAGCCTCGTGTCCTTCTGTCTGTCAGCCTCGTGTCCTTCTGTCTGTCAGCCTCGTGTCCTTGTCTCAGCCTCGTGTCCTTCTGTCTGTCAGCCTCGTGTCCTACCAGCTTGGGTTTACGGGGGTGGGGGGTGGGACTTCCGGATACCCCTCCTCCCCATGGCCACCCCCTCCCTCCCTCCATGTCCACCCCTCCCTCCCCATGCCACCCCCCCTCCCCCCCATGCCACCCCCTCCCTCCCCATGCACCCCTCCCTCCCCCATGGCCACCCCTTCCCTCCCCATGACCTCCTCCTCCCCATGTACCCCTCCCTCCCCCACTAGCCAACCCCTCCTCCCCCATGTGACCCCTCCCTCCCCATGGCCACCCTCCCTCCCCATGGCCACCCCCTCCCTCCCCCCATGGCCACCCCTTCCTCCCCCATAGCCAATCAATGAAGCTTAACTAATTCCGTCTAAGGCTATTATCCCCATACCTGTTGAGGGCCCAGATCACAGACAGACAGACAAGGCGGACAGCTGTGTTTGTTATGCTCCCGCCCGCCCGCCGACCCCAGAAATAATAGACCAAGGGAGATAAGAAGAAATGGGACATAAGAGGTGAAAGGAATAGTGGGGAGAGAGAATGGTAGTGGGGGAGAGAGAGAATAGGAGTGGGGGAAGAAATGGTGAGGGGAGAATGGTGAGGTGGGGAGAGGTGGTGAGTGGGGAGAGAGAATGGTGAGTGGGAGGAGAATGGTGAGTGGGGAGAGAATGGTTGAGTGGGAGAGAGGAATGGTGAGTGGGAGAGAGTGAGGTGGGAGGTGGGAGAGAGAATGGTGAGTGGGGAGAAAGGAATGGTGAGTGGGGGAGAGAGGAATGGTGAGGGGGGAGAGGAATGGTGAGTGGGGAGAGAGGAATGGTGAGTGGGGGAGGAGGAATGGTTGAGTGGGGAGAGAGGAATGGGAGGAGAGAGGATGGTGAGTGGGGAGAGGGGGAATGGTGAGTGGGGAGGGAATGGTGAGTGGGGAGAGGGGAATGGTGAGTGGGGAGAGGAATGGTGAGTGGGGAGAGGAATGGTGAGTGGGGAGAGGAATGGGAGGAGAGAGGGATGGTGAGTGGGGAGAGATGGTGAGTGAGGAGAGGAATGGTGATGGGGAGAGAGGAATGGTGAGTGGGAGAGAGAGATGGTGAGTGGGGAGAGAGGAATGGTGAGTGGGGAGAGAGGAATGGTGAGTGGGGAGAGGAGAATGGTGAGTGGGGAGGAAGATGGTGAGTGGGGAGAGAGGAATGGTGAGTGGGGGAGAGGAATGGTGAGTGGGGAGAGAGGAATGGTGGAGTGGGGAGAGAGGAATGGTGAGGTGGGGAGAGAGGAATGGTGAGTGGGGGAGAGAGGGAATGGTGAGTGGGGGAGGGAGGAATGGTGAGTGGGGAGGGAGTGAGAGGGGGAGAATGGTGAGGTGGGGGAGAGAGAATGGTGAGTGGGGAGAGAGGGAATGGTGAGTGGGGAGAGGAATGGTGGAGTGGGAGAGAGGAATGGTGAGGGAGAGAATGGGAGGGGGAGGAATGGTGAGGGGAGAGAGGAATGGGAGGGAGAGAGGAATGGGAGGAGAGAGGGAGGAGGGAGGAATGGTGAGTGGGGACAAGGAAGCGGTAGGCAAGAGAGGAACAGATAACATTAGAAGGAAGAGGAAAAGAAAAGGGGGAAAAGTAGTAACCAAACGGAGATAAAGAATATGTCGATAGGGTCTAATTTCCTAAATGGTCAGTTCACCTTTTTTTTTGGCCTTATGTGGTTATGACGTCACACACGGACTCAAAACTCCACTAATCACAGAGTATAAACAAGGAACAGTCGAACGAGGCCTTACTAATCTTCAGTAACGATCAACCACCTTGTTCACACACACACACACACACACACACACACACACACACCCACACACACACACACACGCACCCCACACACACACACACACGCACACGGCTGCGGACGGATATATAGACAATCTCTCCCCGACCTCATGGCCTCCACTTACAGCCTCCCGACCTCCTTCAGCCTCCTTACAGCCTCCCGCCCTCCTTGGCCTCACTTACAGCCCCCCCAACCTCAGGGGTCCCCAGAGTTCTCTCACCCTCCGCCAGGTGGCCACAGGGCTCCATAAGTGAGGCGACAGTCGTGTTATTCAAAGGTGCAACAAAAAAAATTAGCCAATCAGCACACACATATTGAGGACTCACACTCTGTAACTTCTGTACGTGTTGCTGTGCTTCCCACCACATAAATCCTGGCAACTCAAGTATAATTGTGTCGTCATCTTGTTAGTTCTCGTTGATCTTACGTTAGGGCAACAACAAAGAAACAAGACTATCAGTCCTCCGTGTGGGAGAGAGTACACAACAACAATACCTCCCCAACATCTTAAACTGCCTTAATAAACAGCTTCTGCTTGTCGCAACCCTCTACCGGTTCTAATAAACTACAGCTACTTTCCTCCACCACCAGATCCTGGGCCAGGCCAGTCAAGCATCCTGGCCGAGCCGAGTCAGGCATCCTGGGCCGAGCCGTGCCGAGCATCTGGGCCGAGCCAAGTCAGGCATCCTGGGCCGAGCCGTGCGAGCATCCTGGGCCGAGCCGTGCCGAGCATCCTGGGCCGAGGCCAGGTCAGGCATCCTGGGCCGAGCCGTGCCGAGCATCCTGGGCCAGAGCCGTGCCGAGCATCCTGGGCCGAGCCGTGCCGAGCATCCTGGGCCGAGCCGTGCCGAGCATCCTGGGCCGAGCCGTGCCGAGCATCCTGGGCCGAGCCGTGCCGAGCATCCTGGGCGAAACCGTGCCGAGCATCCTGGGCCGAGCCGTGCCGACATCCTGGGCGAGCCGTGCCCGAGCATCCTGGGCCGAGCCGTGCCGGCATCTGAATGAGCCGTGCCGAGCGGCCTGGGCCAAGCCGTGCCGAGCATCCTGGGCCGGGCGTGCGGCATCCTGGGCGAGGCCGTGCCAGAGCATCCTGGGCCAGGCCGAGCTGGCATCTGGGCCGAGCCGAGCATCCTGGGCCGAGCCGAGCCGACGGCAACACACAAGGTGGTTTTAGACCGCTAGGCGTCACCATTACTGTACACCTGGGAGGTCTCGGGGTGGCTGTAAGGTCTCGGGGGTGGCTGTAAGGTCTCGGGGGTGGCTGTAGGTCTCAGGGGTGGCTGTAGGTCTCGGGGGTGGCTGTAAGGTCTCGGGGGTGGCTGGTAAGGTCTCGGGGGGTGGCTGTAGGTCTCGGGGATGGCTGTAAGGTCTCAGGGGATGGCTGTAAGGTCTCGGGGATGGCTGTAAGGTCTCGGGGGGTGGCTATAGGTCTCGGGGGGTGGCTGGGTCTCGATGTATAAGGTCTCAGGGGGTGGCTATAGGTCTCAGGGGTGGCTGTAGGTCTCGGGGGGTGGCTATGGAGTCTCAGGGGGTGGCTATGGGTCTCAGGGGGTGGCTGTAGAGTCTCGGTGGCTATAGGTCTCAGGGGGTGGCTGTAAGGTCCGGGGGTGGCTGTCCCGGGGTGGCTGTAAGGTCCGGGGTGGCTGTCCCGGGGTGGCTGTAAGGTCTCGGGGGTGGCTGTAAGGTCCGGGGGTGGCTGTAAGGTCTCGGGGTGGCTGTAAGGTCCCCGTGGCTGTAGGGTCTCGGCTGTATGTGGGTCCTCGGGGTGGCTGTAAGGTCTCGGGGTGGCTGTAAGGTCCCGGGGGTGGCTGTAAGGTCCCCGGGGTGGCTGTAAGGTCCGGGTGGCTGTAAGGTCTCGGGGAGGCGTCCCGGGGTGGCAGGTCCCCGGGGGGTGGCTGTAAGGTCTCGGGGTGGCTGTAAGGTCCGGGGGTGGCTGTGGTCTGGGGTCTGGGGGTGGCTGTAAGGTCTCGGGGGGTGGCTGTAAGGTCTCGGGGGTGGATGAGGTCCCGGGGTATTGTAAGGTCCCGGGGGTGGCTGTAAGGTCTCGGGGTGGCTGTAAGGTCTCCGGGGGTGGCTGTAAGGTCTCGGGGTCAAGGTCTCGGGGGTGGCCAGGTCCCCGGGGGTGGCTGTAAGGTCCGGGGGTGGCTGTAAGGTCCGGGGTGGCTGTAAGGTCTCGGGGTGGCTGTAAGGTCTCGGGGGTGGCTGTAAGGTCTCGGGTGGCTGTCCCGGGGTGGCTGTGGTCTCGGGGTGGCTGTAAGGTCTCGGGGTGGCTGTAAGGTCTCGGGGTGGCTGTAAGGTCCCCGGGGGTGGCTGTAAGGTCTCGGGGTGGCTGTAAGGTCCGGGGTGGCTGTGGTCCGGGGTGGCTGTAAGGTCCGGGGTGGCTGTAAGGTCTCGGGGGTGGCTGTAAGGTCCGGGGGTGGCTGTAAGGTCTCGGGGGGTGGCTGTAAGGTCCCGGGGGTGGCTGTAAGGTCTCGGGGGTGGCTGTAAGGTCTCGGGGTGGCTGTGGTCTGGGGGTGGCTGTAAGGTCTCGGGGGTGGCTGTAAGGTCTCGGGGGTGGCTGTAAGGTCCGGGGGTGGCTGTAAGGTCTCGGGGGTGGCTGTAAGGTCTCGGGGGTGGCTGTAAGGTCTCGGGGATGGCTGTAAGGTCTCGGGGTGGCTGTAAGGTCTCGGGGGTGGCTGTAAGGTCTCGGGGTGGCTTAAGGTCCCGTGAGGCGTCCGGGATGGCTGTAAGGTCTCGGGGATGGCTGTAAGGTTCGGGGGTGGCTGTAAGCCTTGTTAACGCTCCTGGGTCTCGGGTTAATATATTCTTACAGTATTATAGTTTTTCCAGCGATTACCGCCTTTATTGTGGGGAACCAGAGACCCAACATGTGAGGCCGGCCACATGCACGGTGCGGCCACAAGCAGGGTGCGGCCACATGCAGGGTACGGCCACAAGCAGGGTACGGCACAAGCAGGGTGCGGCCACATGCAGGGTGCGGCCACATGCAGGGTGCGGCCACATGCACGTGGTCACAAGCAGGGTGCGGCCACAAGCACGGTGTGGCCACAAGCAGGGTGCGACCACAAGCAGGGTGCGGCCACATGCACGGAGCGACCACAAGCACGTGTGGTCACAAGCAGGGTGCGGCCACAAGCACGGTGTGGCCACAAGCAGGGTGTGGCGAACTGAGGTTAATCAAATTTGCAGGAGCGTGTCCGAGTTCTCAACGGCGATGCACTTGTATTATGTTACCATTCTCACAGATCTGTCCCACCTACCACCCTCTCCACCTACCACCACCTACCACCACCACCACCTACCACACACACCACCTCCTACCACACACACCCACCCACCACCACCCACACCTACCACACAACCACACACCCACCACCTACCACACACACACCACCTCCTACCACACCCACCACCTACCACACACACCCACCTACCACACCCACACACACCCACCACCACCACACCCCACCTCCTACAACACCCACCACCTACCACACACACCTACCACACCACCACCCACCACACACCACCACCTACCACACACACCTCCTACCACACCCACCACACCTACCACACACCACCTCCTACCACACCCACCACCTACCACACACACACCACCACCACTACACACCACCACACGACCAAATCCGGAAAAGATGGATTACTGTCTTAGTAACTCAATCGGCCAGAAGCACAGACTGAGGAGCCATACATGTTACTCAACCTTGAAATAATGATCAATTTAGAAGCTTAAGAACATAACCCGTATATAACCGGTCTTACTCTCTAATGATTAGACTTGGGGGGGAGGGGGGGGGTTATAAGTGACCTGGAGGAGTAACAGAGGAGGAGGAGTATCATACAGTACAGACTGTACATATTGCATAGTATAGCATATATAGTAACAGCACAGTAGCATAGTACCATACAGTACAGTATAGCACGGTACAGTACAGTACTATATAGTATAGTATAGTATGGTATGTACACATAGCACTGTACTGTATGGTATTGTACTGTATTGCATTGCATACTGTACTGTATACATTGCACATTGTATACTGTACTGTACTGTATGGTACTGTACTGTATTGTACTGTATGATACTGTATTGTACTGTACTTGTACTGTACTGCATTACTGTAATTGGTACTGTACTGTACTGTACTGTATTGTACTGTGCTGTGCTGTATCCAGGTTGTACTGTACAGTACTGTACTGTACTTTGCTGTGCTGTACTGTTCAGTACTGTACTGTACATTGCATCGTAATTGGTACAGTACTGTACTGTACTGTACACTGCATCAGATTGTACAGTACTGTACTGTATGATACTATACTATACTGTATGGTACTGTAATGTACTGTACGGTACTGTAATGTACTCTACAGTACAGTACACTGTACTGTATACTGTATTGTATTGTACTGGTACTTTACTGTACTATACAGTACAGTAAACATTACACATACATTACAGTACCTACATATAGTATAAATAAGTACAAAGACCATACAAAGTATAGTATAAGTACAGTACACTACATTACAGTACAGTACATTACAGAACCATACAGCATAGTATAGTATCATACAGTACAGTACCAGTACAGTACACTACAGTACAGTACTGTACAGTACAGTAAAGAACAGTACCATACAGTACATTACAGTACCATACAGTATAGTATAGTTACATACAGTACAGTACCAGTACAGTACAGTACCAGTACAGTACACTACATTACAGTTCACTACAGTTCACTACAGTACAGAACAGTACAGTACTGTACAGTACATTAAAGTACAGTACCATACAGTACATTACAGTACCATACAGTATAGTATAGTATCATACAGTACAGTACACTACATTACAGTTCACTACAGTACAGTACAGTACCATACAGTTACAGTACCATACAGTGTAGTATAGTATCATACAGTACAGTACAGTACCAATACAGTACACTACATTACAGTTCACTACAGTACAGTAAAGTACAGTACTGTACAGTACAGTACCATACAGTACATTACAGTACCATACAGTATAGTATAGTTACATACAGTACAGTACCAGTACAGTACAGTACCAATACAGTACACTACATTACAGTTCACTACAGTACAGTAAAGTACAGTACTGTACAGTACAGTACCATACAGTACATTACAGTACCATACAGTGTGGTATAGTATCATACAGTACAGTACAGTACAGTACCAATACAGTATACTACATTACAGTACAGAACCATACAGCATAGTATAGTATCATACAGTACAGTACTGTACAGTACATCACATTACAGACTACAGTACAGTAAAGTACATTACAGTACCATACAGTATAGTATCATACAATACAGTACGGTACCAGTACAGTACACTACATTACAGTTCACTGCAGTACCATACAGTACATTACAGAATAGTATAGTATCATACAGTACAGTACACTACATTACAGTTCACTACAGTACTGTACAGTACAGTACCATACAGTACATTACAGTACCATACAGTATAGTATAGTATCATACAGTACACTACATTACAGTTCACTACAGTTCAGAACAGTACAGTACTGTACAGTACAGTAAAGTACAGTACCATACAGTATAGTATCATACAGTACAGTGCACTACATTACAGTACAGTACTGTAAAGTACAGTACCATACAGTACATTACAGTACCATACAGTATAGTATAGTATCATACAGTACAGTACACTACATTACAGTACAGTACAGAACAGTTCAGTACAGAACAGTTCACTACAGTACAGTAAGCGACCCTGGAGGGACCCACCCACCTTAGGGTGTTCACAACAGTGCGGGGAGGTGACAGAGGTGCAAGAGAGTGGCAGGACATCCCTTGTTACCGCCCCTATGGGTCACCCCGCCCGAGCCTTACCCCTTTACCCCCACTCAGGAGGCCGGGCCGGGCTACACAGCAGTAGCACCGGTATAATATAAATAATCCTGTCGTCGCTCTTGTGACCATAGTCCCCGAGCTGATCAGTTGACAGACACGGTTCATTAATAGTGAAATACTATTACTGGTGGACGGAGAGAGAGAGAGACAGAGAGAGGAGAGAGAGAGGCTGTATTGACCACCACGCGGCGGTCTTGGGGAAAAACTGGTCACACACAATGGTGGGGAAGAGGTGCAGGGTGACAGTGTCCCCTGTCGTCCAGCAGGGAGGGAGGGAGGGAGGAGGGAGGGACAGGGTATAACAGGATCAAGACCATTTACAAGTCACAACACCTGGCCTGGCTGGTGTAGTAACCTGGGCCAGGACTGTACTGTACCCCCCCCCCTCCTTACGACTGGGGGTAACGAGCGTGTACATACAGCAATACATGTACACCCAGCAATACATGTACACACAGCAATACATGTACACCCATCAATACATGTACACCCAGTAATACATGTACACCCAGCAATACATGTACACACAGCAATACATGTACACACAGCAATACATGTACACCCAGCAATACATGTACACCCAGCAATACATGTACACCCAGCAATACATGTACACCCAGCAATACATGTACACACAGCAATACATGTACACACAACAATACATGTACACAGCCCAACAAGGACAATAATTAAAAGAGTAATAAATATCACAATAATTACACCGTCAACTACCCTGTCTTCAATACTCTGACTACTGCCACACACATCGGCCCTCTTCTCTTAGTAAACTATTAAAACGTTAGAGAATTGAACCTTAATAATGTTATAAACTTCCACTATTGCCGCTACCCACTTAATACCTTCCACTACGACTTTAATATCAATTAGTTTTATTAACATTATAACTCCAATATTTTGTTACGCCAGGATAAAGCGCGCCCATATTAAAGCAGCCATCCGCCTACCTAACACAACACACCATAATGTTGAAGGTAACATGCGGTTAGTTACCAACTCATCATTCATTAATATCCATAACCGGACTTGACGCTTTTAATCCAGCAATAAACCTTTTATAATATGTTCTTACAAAAATGTAATGAAAATGACCCCCCCCCCCCAATAAAAAAGACAAACAGGCCAACGAATTAAATGCCAGCACACAACTAAACGGCGGGGTAACTAAGATAATGCAGAAGCCACACACAAAAACCAGATTATCAGAGCATTAAACCCTGCCTGGTGCTGAGCCCGCCGCCACCCCAGCTGCCGGCAGTGAACCCCATAAAAACTAACCCTGTCCAGACACCACTTCCTCCACCCCCCCACCAAGCTCAGGCGGGTGACGTTACTGCATTAATCTCGACTCCATATCTATAAGGAAGGGCAAAGAAATATTCGGATCACTTGAAGAATCTCCAACCCGGTTATTTCACCTTAACGCGGTGTTTGGAACGTTAGATTAGTGGATAGCATAAGATAGGATGAGTTATGAAAAGATTAACACTTCAGACCATAGCTTTTACCGAGTCTAGAGTATTGGTATATGAACTGAATATCAACAAGACACGACTTTCCACACCGTGTCTCGGTTGCTTCCACTTGGTTTATATTAGTTTTAACATTCAAAGATGACATTCCAAGTGCACGCAATTTCATAAAATCAAAATGACAATTTAATTTATTTAAATCATATATCACATTACTATAAAATTCGGCAAACTTAAATATCAAAATCACAAAGTTTTTGGTCGTAGGAAATACTGGCACATTAATTTTTATTGACACGTTTTCGTTAAAATTTGATAACCTAACCTAACCTAACCTAACCTATGCACGCCGTAGCTCATTAACTCATTTGTGGTTCGTGAGCTCGAAGTGAAATTTGTTGTGCCATTTTTTCCTAGTATAAAAATAGTGTAATTTTTCCGAGTACTGGGTTT